GTTGGAATGAAACGTTTATTTTCTCTTCGCCTTAGAACTATCGCAAAGTACGGGTTTGCATGTTCGACCCACTCGAAAGAACTTATTTTATATTCTTTTACTAATATGTGGTGATATAGAGTCCTGCCCTGGTCCTAAGATGTCAATAAAATGTACAAGCTGCCTCAAAGTAATTCGAAGGAACCAATCTCAGCTCACTTGCCAAGACTGTCGATCGACCTTTCATGGGAAGTGCGTTCATGATCATTTTGATATAATTGGTTGTTGTTTACAATGTTCGACATCTAGCCCGCCAGACATAAACGACGAAGACCTTTATGAAAGTGGGTTGCTGGATTTAACAGAGTTTTTGAATGGAAAAGGATTAAAGTTATTACATCAAAATATTGTGGTCTATATGCACGTAAAGTCAATCTGGAACATATCCTACAGTCATTCAAAGGTATTGATATTCTGGGTCTTAGTGAAACGCACCTAACTGATCAGACACCGACAGATGAACTGATTGTAGAGGGCTTTGATTTCGAGTAAAAAGACCGGCGTTCGGGATTTGGGGGTGCTGTTGGCGTGTATATAAAGCAAGATGTGCCATATCGCCGCAGTTATGATTTGGAGGAAGAGCATGATAACATTGAATGTACCTGGATCGAGGTCTTATTTCCGAAGTCCAAAGGTATTATGATTGGTAACATTTATAGACCCCCTGATACTTCCAAGTATTTGGATAGTGATTTTAATGATAAACTGGATGAAGTTTTGAATGCTGTGTCTGATGAGAAAAAGGAGATTTTATTACTTGGTGATCTAAATTGCAACTTTCTTGAGTCTGCCTGCAAAAGACAGCTGAAGCGAGTATTTAGTATGCATGGCCTTAAACAAATTATTCAAAATGTCACCCGAATAACAAAGTCGTCTGCATCGTTAATTGACATTCCTCTCTCTTCTAATCCTGGGAGAATAATTAAGTCAAAAGTTATTAAAAAATAAAAAAATTTTGAAAAAAAATTATTGTTTACAAAAATTTACAAAGAAAGATTATATGTTGCATTATCTGCAAGTATGGCTGCCAAAGCTAGTTGTGGCAGGCAATGAATTTAAATGTAGGTAGTGTAAGTTTAGAAAAATATTTTTACAAATAAGTGAAGGAAAGTATATAAAGTTAATTGGTTATGAAAAATATTGTAATTTTAGATACAGTATTACAGATCTAGCATTACAGAGAAAAGGCAAGCAGCTGAAACATCCTTATCTAGTATTCTATCTCAAAGGATCTAAGGTAATTTAAACCATCATAGTTACAATTGGCAATCTTGCTATTATCATGGGCACATCAACATAGTGATTCTCAGTTGTAAGAATTGTAAAGAGGGCCTGGCACATTTTGTGTTTAAATATCTTTTTACTTTTTGAGCGAAGGCCCTGGTCAATACTATTCCAAATTTCCGCACCAAGTCGAGAAAACGAACATTTCTGAAGCTCTAGGCAAGAATATTTGATATAAAAATTATCTTTCTTCGCCGCTCTTGTATTATAATTATGAACCTCAGATGTTTTTTTTGAAAAGTTATTGTAGAGTTGTTGGCGAGTCTCCGGTTGATATATTGTATAACATGTTAGCAGATTCTTTGATATACATCATATTAATAGGAAGAGAATTTGAAGAAACAAACAAGGGAATTGCATGATTATCAAATGATTTAAAATACATCAGACGTAAAACACGTTTTTGTAATATAAGAAGTTTCTTAATGTGAAACTTGGCAGCATTTCCCCATGCAGACAATCCATACAAAAGATAAGGTAAAATTAAGGACCTATATATATCTAGTACGGTATGATTTGGAATAAAATATCGCAATTTTGAGATAATCCCAACATTTTTACTAATCTTTAATGCAATATAATCAATGTGATGCTTCCAACTGAAGTGGCAATCAATAATAATACCAAGATACTTTATATATTCTTTGCATTCGAGTGGTGTGTATTGCTTAGAATTATTATCATACATGCTAATTACTGGATGATAATTTACTGATTTCTGGTGTGGGCAAAAAATAACAAAATTTGACTTTTTTATATTAAGCGTTAAGTTTGTTGGCATTAAGCCATTTGCAAACATTATTCAATTCAGAATTTACAACAGATTCAAGTGTTTTCAAGTTTTTATTAGCATATAGTAAGTTGGTATTATCCGCAAAAAGAAAAAAATTAAAAACGTTTGATGACTCAGAAATATCGTTTATGTATATTAAAAAAAAGTAGAGGCCCAAGGACTGATCCTTGAAGTACTCCACACAAAGTGGTTTCTCTATCAGATACACAGTTTCCAATGAGAGTTGTTTGAGAGCGGTGTTTTAAGTAGGAAGAGAACCAGTCATTTACCACTCCCCTAATACCGTAATGATTTAATTTACCCAACAGTATATCGTGGTCTACTATATCAAAGGCTTTCTTCAAGTCTATCAATATACCGCAGGAATAAAGTTTATTACCCATGTTAGTTTGTATTTTGTTACCAATGTCGAGAATGGCATGTTGTGTAGAATGTTGTTGACGGAAACCATATATTGTGAGGGACACAAGATATTTTTCATATTTAGGTATTTGTCTAAACGTTTATACACGATTATTTCAAAATTTTTATTAAATACCGATAAAAGGGATATGGGTCGGTAATTATTCGGTTTCATCCTCCACTTTGTAAATTGGAATTATTTTCAAAATTTCAAGTTTATTAGGATAAATTCCAGTTTCAATCAACCGATTAAAAATATCTGCCAAAGGTTTGCTCAGAATGAGTTTTGCACATTTAATAATCCTCGAAGGGCATGAGTATAAACCCTCAGCTTTTTTGGTTGGTAGTGTGATAATTTCAAGTTCAATATCTCTTTCAGTTATCGGAATGAAAACAAATGAATCTAGTTGAGATGTGTAGTTAAGGCTATTCGTAAGTTGAAGGTAATCAGAATAATGTTTTTCAGAATGTGGCATTTTAGCAGCTAATCGTTGTCCACATGTAGCAAAATGTTTATTCAAGATGTTAGATATATTTTTAGGATCAAATGTTAATCGAGAAGCAGGATCCTGTCGCATGGCACCAATATTATTTTTATTATTACGGCTACGTCCCAAAATTTCCCTTATTCCTTCTCATTTCTTACTCATATTTGTGTGATTCAAGTTGAAATATTTTTCATAGTACAATTTTTTGCTGGCCCGGAGTAAAGTAACAATATAGTTTCTATATATTTTATACTGAGTTAAATTATTTGTGTGAAATAACTTATTTTTAACTTTAATAGATGCCCTTATTCCTCTAGTTACCCATGGCTTGGATAATTGTTTTGCTTTACGCCTGGAAATGGTCTTGATAGGAGCATGTTTATTATTAATTTATTTACTTTATTAAGGAAAGTCGAGAATAACTTGTTAGGATTATTCTCTGGTTCCATTACGGCAAGATCCAGTTTATCTCTGGGAGTTCTTGGTTAAATAGAGTATCGGAGAATGATGAATAGTCACGGTATTTACGTTTTTGGATGTTTTGTGTGACAGTAATAGAATCTAGGATACAAGTTTAAGTTAATTTCTTAAATAGCCAGGCACTATCACAATCAGTCAATCACGATCATGCTGGGTCTTACTCTGACTCACTTTTCGATGGCTTGGAGGATTTCTGGAGCAGTGTTTGGGTCTGACGGTAAAAGTCTCGTTTTGGACCGGCCTGACGTTGGATATGTTTCTTCCCCGCCTCATACCACATCCAGTGTTGTTTGGGCTGCTGGAGTTGCAGTCTTGGTTATGGCCTTCGATCTGGATAATGCGGCATTGGCCGCTGCCATCACAGATGTAGGACCTACAGGTTCCCCGTCTCCCCGGAATTCCAATTCAATTAAATTAGTTTGAATATTAATGGTCTTAATGACCAGGTAAAAGGACCGCCCTTGTATGGTTGAAGTGTGTGAGGGCGGGTATTGTCTGCTTGCAGGAAATGCATGCCTCCTCACGAGACTAGGAGGGGCTGGTTCGTGGAATCTGGTTTTAGGGTAGTGGCATCTTCTATTTCACACATACATTGTGGCACTGCCATTTTTATAAAGATAAATATAAAGTAACTTGGGTCTCTCTGGATGACGAGGGTCATTTCGTTCAGGCCATCATTGATTTTGATGGAGACAAACTCAGCTTTGTTTCTCTTTATGCTCCTAACAAAAACCCGGAGAGCATAATCATTTCTTTTCTTCCATCTCTGACATGATCAAGCTTATTCGCCCAGCTTTTGCCTGTGGCGATTTTAACGCTGTGTTGGACAGTAATCTTGATAGGAAGCATCATGCTTCCTTTGTTGGTAGCAGCTCAGCTGCACATCAAGAGAGCAGGCCGGCGTTGCAATCTTTCAAGCCTTTCCGGTCTGGCATGTGTTCCATCCCTCCCAGACGGCATACTCCTGGACGCATGGTTCATGTGAGTTTGCCATGCATATTGTTATGGTTTGGGCTCCTATCCTTAGACAGGGCATTAGGGAGTGCAAATATTATCCCTCCTTTTTTACTGATCATCAGTACTTGCTGGTCAAGTGCGATCTTGATGATCCTTTTGTTTGTGGTCCGGGTGTGTGGAAGTTTAATACTTCCCTGCTTGAAGGTGAAGAATATTGTCAGTTAGTCTGGTCCTTTTAGTTATTTTGGCAGACACAGGAGGGTTCTGACAAGTACTCCTCTGGACCTGACTGGTGGGACCAGGGCAAGTTTTATTTGCGCAAGATTACACAGACGTGCGTAATATCCATCTAAATGAAGGCCAAGGTGCCCAAGTTCAACCCCGCATCATCTGTGACCCGGCATCTGGTGTAGTGTGCCATGATCCATTTGAGATCCTTGATGTCTGGCAGCAATATTATCATGGCCTGTTCACAGCAGAGCGTCATCTCACTGTGGAGGAGTGTTTTTCCACGCTTTCGGGGATGGCTTGTGGGAAGACTCCTGGCTCGGATGGTTTTCCCATGGAGTTTTACCTTTGTTTTTGGCAAGCTCTTGGTGCAGATCTGGATTGAATTCTCACAGTTGCTTACGAGAGAGGCCAGCTTTCCTCTCAGCTCTGGGCCTTGATCATTGTCCTTTATAAGAAAGACAACAATCTGGAGACCAAGAATTGGCGACCGATTAGTCTGCTAAATGTGGACTCTAAGATTGCCACAAGGGCAACTTCGGGTCGTTTGCTCCAGGTGATGAGTACCAATTGTTGCCACAGATCAGACGTGTGGTGTACCAGGTCGCTCGATTTTGGAGAACCTGTTTTTGGTCTGTGACCTAATTGATTATGTGGAGCAGGAAGATCTGCGGGTTGCACTTCTCCCTCTCTATCAAGAGAAAGCCTTTGATTGTGTTGACTGGGCTTTTCTCCTCCGGATCTTGGAAAAATTTAATTTTGGTGCTGGGTTCTGTGCCCAGATCAAACTTTTTTATACGGATGTTGAGTTGGCCGTTGTTATTAACGGCTGGAACTCATCCTTTTTTGCCCTTCGCGGGGTATGCGACAAGAGTGCCCACTTTCTCCTATATTGTACGTTTTGTGCATCAAGATCCTGGCGGTCAGCATTAGGAATGCACTTGATGTCAACAGCATGTATCTCCCAAACTCTTTGGAGCAATTCAAATGCTCGGGTTACCCGGATTGTGACCTGCTAATTCGAACCCTGATTACTTCTTAAAACTCTTGAAAAGCTGACATGTCCTGGTGTTTCTACTGAGAACTATGAAAGTATAATACCCCCCACCTTTTGATCTTTGTGTGTTGAAAACAACTGATGGACAACATGGTGCTTTTCTTGAATGTGATCGAATTAATGTTGAAAGGAGCAAGTGTTGTACATTTCTTGTTCAAAAAAATACTAACAATTGTTGCAAAGCTTGTTGTGAAACAAATCATTATTTGAGGACATTGAAATCCCGTAGTCAGCAATCAAGTCAATCATGTTCCAAGCATAAGAGATGTGATTACATGTCCAAGGATGAACGTAAAGAATGATTTCAATGATATGACCTCAATACATTTTGTCGATCTGTATTAAATATGTATGACAGCTACACACCTCAGTAACCAAGCTGTATTATTTTCGTCAGACTCACATCACACATGCTAAAATTTCTTCCTCTGCTTTATTTATAATTTTTGTGGCAGTTTACAACATTTCACCTTGGCCATATTTATATCATTATTACAATGTTTAGCTGGTTCATTTAATTTATAACTATTAATTATTCTCTAAAAACATTGGAATCATGTAATCAAATAATCTTTGAATAATATAATGTTCAAGGTAAATTTCTTATTGTAACCATGATGAATAGCTATTAGTAAAAGCCTCCTGTTATTGGTGGTGCAATGGTTTAAGGCACCTGTCATGCTTATACATTTTAATTAACTTATACATTTTAATTTTACAGAATATTTTCAGTTACTGTGTTCTCAGTATTCTCCAATGTCATAGTCATATGTTATAGGTACTATATCACAATAGTACCACCACAACTTGTCAGTCGCAACTGCCTGTTCAACTATGATTTATTTGTTTCATTTTTCGGTGTTAGTGACTGTTGACCATTAAACCTTCCTCACTGACCTCACCTATGGTAAACCTTCCTCGCCGGTGATGGCCGCAGCTTTTTTGCGACTCTGTCGGGTTAACATGCAATATTTTGACTGGCCACCTAGATTCATCATTTGCATAATACATGCATTTTACCTCATGATATTAACATCTATAATAGACATATTTGTAATTATTAGATGCCATCTTGAAAATGGACCAAACACAATACAACAATAGGCATATGCCAATGGAAATGTTATCCCTTTGGGAAAAGCTATTGTTGTTGTATTGTGCTTTGAATGGATGATTTATTAAAATTTCCAAATGGCAGGTGCATGGCGTGGCCAGCGACCTGAAAAACTTGAAATTACAAATTGGTAAAAGTAGCCATACTATTTACAAGATAAAAGGTTATAAAAGTTAACGATTCGTATATATATAAATGTACTGACTTGAAGATTAGATTAACATTAGTTTGAGTGGTTCATCTCAATTGAATCCCATTTTTTGACACAATATGTGATAAAACTGTTTTTGAAACGTTCTGTTCCACATTTAAAAAGTGGATACATTTGAGGGTTCTGAAGATGATTTTTATGGTAAACAGGATCAGGAAGAAGTCCATGTAATTTATTATGATGGTTTAAAACAGATTTATACAAAGACAAGCATTGATTCTCTCTGCGTTTGTGTAGTGGAGATAATCGTGATTGTTCAAGAGAAGCAGTATATGGGAGATGAGGGAACATAATCTTTATCGCTCTTTTTTGAACATGTTCGATTTGATCAGATAAAGTTAAGGAGAGTGAAGTATGGCAAACCTGGCATGCATATTCCAATACCGGTCGGATAAAAGTACAGAAGATAATTAAAAAGTCTGCAGCTGGGACACCATTTCGTTTCAAAATTTGAAGGGCATATAACCTTTTACTAGCTTTAGCACATATGTTATCAACATGAATATTCCATGTAAGGTTGCTTGGGATTGTTATTCCCAGGAGCTTGAAACTTTGAACTATATCAAGTGAGATGTTATTCATGGTGAGCTGATCGATTGCCAATGGAGTCTTTAGGAAATATATCTGGAATTTGTTTGTTTTCTTTACGTTAAGGCGCATGTCATTAGTTTCTGTCCAGGTATTGACGAAATTCAGATCCGTCTGGAGCATAGTATAATTGGTTGACCTGGAAATGACAACATATGCAGTGCAATCGTCTACATACTTATATAAGGGTAAGGTTGTTATGAGATCGTTTATCATTATAAGGAAGAACAAGGGGGCAAGTATAGTTCCTTGTGGGACACCAGCATTAATTTCCTTCCAATCAGATTTTATTTTACCCATTTTTACTCGGAAATAATGGTGTTCTAGGAAATTTGCACACCAATTCAATAGTATGGGGGGAACATTGAAATTTGATAGTTTTTCCAAGAGGATATTATTAAATCAAAATTTTTAGATATTAGATCAAAAGCTTTAGAAAAATCGATCATGCAGGA